GGGGGCTTATCGCAGCCCAGACTGACTGACTGATATATCGACTGGTTTGCTGGTTCATTGAATGATTGATTGATTCATTGAGCGATTGAGCTCTGTTGCTGCACACTCGCACATGCTGGCTGCAGTTTATGATATAGATGAAGCGGTGGAGAGGCACGGGCTGTAAGTGAGTAAGAGCGGAGAGGTGGGAAAGGGGAGGGTGGTATGTAAATCTGTGAAATCAGCGATAATTACAGTGAGTGCACAAAAAGCCACATCACAGTTGGCAGAGATGGTGCTAATCATCCTAACACAGTCTGCACCCAGGCATCAAGCATGTGTGCTTGCATGTGTGTCTGTGTGTGTGTTTTGAGGATGGCAGAGAGGTCCAAAAACAGTGTATGCTTGTGTTGTATTGCACAACATGTTTGTATGTGGGTTTCCTCTTACCTTTGGCAAAAACAAAGCTAACCTTTCACTAATTTCATGGCTGTGCATCACATGTTATTGCTGAAACAAACACAGTCTGCACCCCAAAAAAGGAAATTCTTTTACAAATAATGTATTTCTCATGCACCAATAAAATGTATTAGTGTAAGTTCAAAGTGTGCTTTGATGTTTTTATGCTGAAATTACAAGCAAGTAGGAGACTCTTTTTTATAGAAAAAATAAAGTGTGATTTATGATTTTGAATGCAGTAATTTAAAAAAAAAACTTGCGTTTAAATAAAAGTATCAAATGTTGTAACCTTATTTCTATAAAAGTCAATCATAAATAAATAATAAAATAAGTAAGTGTGAACATTAAAAACAATGCTTTTCTGCATATTGTGAATCTACTGTTAATGCAAACATGAAACTCTCACCATGCTGCCTGCAGTTCCATATGTTGGACTGTTTTTTGGGGGTTTTATAAGCTAGGGGGAAAAAATGCTACAGTACAAAATAAAATCAACCAAATCCATATATTTCATGAAATACTTCCACAACACAAAAATAAAGCCAAAATAAACAAACAAGGAAGACAGTTTACAGCAGGTGGTGGGGTTCGTTTAAATGTGGCATATATTCATCTAATAGTCCGCATCGTGTTTTGGCATTTCACTAATAGATGATGAGGCTTTCAATTAAATGTCTGCACATTTCAGTAAAATTAAAAAGTAATTCCTTTGATTTATAATGTGTCATCTGTCTCTAATCTGTCCGTGTCGCCGCAGATCCCTCCCTCATCTGAATCGAAAAAAAAAGTTCCAGCGATCCACAAACAACACAGCTGATCTTACCTGGATGACGCGCATGTTCAGCCCTGTTTCCTGTGCCAGCTGTTCTCGAATGTGCCGGGTCGGTTTCGGCGTGGCAACAAAAGCAGCCTTTAACGTTTCCAGCTGCTTGGCCTTGATGGTGGTCCGGGGCCCCCGCCTTTTGGCCCCAGAGTTCTGCTCCTCGTTCTCAATATTGTTCGTTTCCTTATCTGAGGACGTTGAATTGTCCGTCTCTTTTATGTCGTCCTGTATTGGGTCCTGCAGATCCGGCGATAAACTCCTATCTGTGCACGACGACACTGGGGGACGGGGCGGATGGGTGGGGGGACAAACAAGAAGGAAGGTCAGGTCACGATCCGAAATGTCAAGGTGGGGGGTGGCGGGGTGCGGTGGGTGGTGGTGGGGGGCTGTTTTAATCAGCCTTGGAGATGCACACAAGCGTTGCTGACAATTACGCATCCGAAACTTGACCTAATGGTAAATGAAATGCGTTTTTACGCCCCTCGGTGAATTTTTGTCTCCCAGTTTCTGTTTTCCCTTCTTTCTTTATTTGTATATTTATTTTTCTTAAATAATATCTGAAGTATCAAACAAAACGCAAAAAACAAATGCGCAAAATAATACCAAAAAAAAAAAAATCCACAGTTGCTAACATCTCCAATTTACGCACACAAAAAAAAGATGACATACGGGCATGCAGCCATATTACATTTGCGAGCAAATGAAGAGATTTATATTGGAGATCAAAACAAAGGGTTTATGAAAAAGGGACGCGTGACACCTTTAGTAAATAGGGTGTGGAGTGGAGTTGCTGCCCTCCTGAGCTTTTTATAAGGATAAATAGAGTGGAATGAGGAGCAGCACACACGGCCAGACCAACAGGCTCATCCCCAGTGGACCCTGACGTATAATAACAGAAAGCTATTGTTCTTTGGAGGTAAATATTGAAAGTATTCATCTCATAAGGTTACTGTGAGATGCTCTCCGCGGAATGCTGCAAAAGCTCAGCATCAACTTATATTTAAAGCCGCCACTTCTGCTTTTCTTTTGTCTATTAAAATGCTGATTGCCAATTTATTCATCCGATTTTTCTTTCTTTCTTTCTTTCTTTCTTTCTTTCTTTCTTTCTTTCTTTCTTTCTTTCTTTCTAAATCGGTTCCACGGTTATTAAAATAAACAACGCCCCCAGCAGCCCTCTTATTGTTATCATTGCTTATTGTTGAATGGGAGACAAAAACGCAGCGCAGGCCTGGTGTCGCTTCGCTTACCTGAGTTCAAGTTGACTTCCTTTATGGCCCCGGAGCTCAGATAATCATCTTTGCACACAAACTTGTTCTCGTCTATCACATAGAGTTCTTCTCCCGTGGACAGCTGTTTGTTACACACCATGCAGGTGAAGCAGTTTAGGTGAAACACTTTGCTTCGAGCTTTGCGGACCAAGTCGTTCGGCGAGATTCCCTGCAGACAGCCAGCGCATTTAGTGCCAAATCGCCTGCACGGAAAACGAAAAATGAAGGTGAGATTGAGATTTTTTTTTTTATGACGGCAGCGCGTAAAGGGGTCTGTTAGAAATTACCCACATCCATCATATAATCATTAATACTAAAAAGAAGCTGGTATTAAAATAATATTAATTTAGAAGGAATAAACAGGTTTAACGCCTTTAGTTTAGCAAGTGATATAAATGTCACTAACACATAATAATAATAATAATAATAATAATAATAATAATAATAATAATAATAATAATAATAATAATAATAATAATAATAATAATAATCCACTGTAACGTTTTTAGTAAATAAAACGTAACAGGTAATCACTCAACCAGAGCACCTCTCTCTATGAGAGTGTTGATAACATAGCCATTAAAATCATTTAGAAAAAGACTTTAGAGAAAGGTTTTTTTTAAAAAACCTTCCTAATTTTGATTGAGGTGCTCTGACAATAACCCCACGCAAAACGTATTAGTGACAATCAACACATTGTACTCGTGGATATATTATAGGATTAGGCAGAGTAGGAGCATCTTAGCGTGCAAATCTTCTCTTAATCCATATTCACCCGCGCTTAAATAGCACTGGGTGGGAAGACTCATCGATTTGATACACAAATAGCCCAAAAATAAATTCACTAAAATTCCCCCTCCTCATTTGCCGGGGTGAGTCCGTTTTTTCCCCTTTCTCTCTTTTTAATTACTCTCAAAAGAAGTGCGATAAAGCACATTTGACTGAGTGACGCTTACAGTATTTCTCGCCTGCCCAGATGTCTTTACTGATGGAAGGAGTTTGAACAGATGCTTAAGGCTCACTTTGGGCCTGCTGTAGCTGGATTTTAAGTCCGCCTGTCGGGGGCTGGTTAAGCCTTTGGGTGACTGCAGGCACCCTTGTTGTGGAGCATTGTTTTAACACTGTGCTTGCCTTTCCATTCACTTACAATGGTATCGCATCACTATCCGCTTTTCACATGCGTGACCAAGCCTCCCCCAGCGAAAGGGCACAACTCTACTTACACAACAAATGGACACATTAGGGTGATTACTGTTTCGCCTAGCTAATGGCTGGCCATTTAAATCCACCGCTTGATGGGACCTGTGGTAATATGACGGCCAAGGCCGCGCGAGGCCAATAATAGCCCCGTCCCAACAAAGGCTGATGTGTCTTACATGTCATTAGACAATTTGGGAGAAAATAACTGACACATACAAATGAAAATGATGCTAAGAGAGTGACAAACAAGGGCTTCACTTATCACTCAATTACCTGGAACACTTTTTGGAAATTGTGAACCGGTTAATAGCCTAATGGGTGTTTGAAATAAAAGTGTTGTCTGGAGCTGGAAATAGATTTTTTTTAAAGAAAAGAAAAAAATAAGCACAGAATACACGAGGATACAGAATCAATATATTTATATGTCCATTCTTTTATAATAGAGGCCCCTTTTGACGCCACACGGTTCATATCATTTCCTAAAAATGTCACCACACAGAGATAGGTAAAAATCATGCATTTTAAAAATTACGGATATTATTAACAAATAAGGGAAAATGTATACTTTTAGATTTATCTTAAATTCCTTTAACCATAAAAAAAATCCAAGTACGGGTTAACGTGGCCTATGACCTGAGTCCAGCGCACCGAGCTCGACTTTATGTGCCAGGCTTTAATTTGTATTTTTCTTCATCCTGTTCTTCTATTTTTTTTAATCAATCTTTAACCACAAAATAATTTCCCTTATTGTAAAGGTGTTGACGAATGCTTGAATCAAAGCGTGATTTCTTTCTTTCTTTCTCTCTCTCTCTCTCTCTCTCTCTCTCTCTTTTTTTTTTTTTTGAAGACCTCTTGATTCCAAATTCAGTTACCTGAAAAAGTCAATTTTGCAATAGAGCTTTCCGTCTCTGGAGAAGCACTTCTCGGTGAGGTTGCAGTTGCACTCACAGCACTGGACGCACTTGGCGTGCCAGGCTCTGTCCAGCACGTTGAGGAGGAACCGGTCCAAGATGGGCCGTTCGCACCCGGCACACTGGACCATCATATCGCCGGCCTGCAGGACGCCGAGTGCCGACCTACCCACGCGGACTGCGCTGCTCGGACTTGGGCACTCCGAGTTTACGCGGAACAACGTCTTGGCTCAGAGAGGTGTGCTGTCAGGCGAAAACTGGAGGGACCTGTCGTTCAAAGGCAGCGGAGTGACAATCCCCGAGAACTGCTGTAGTCCTGGTCCTGTTTGGTCGCTGTCCTGCTACTTGTCACAATCCACAAATCCAGAGGAGAAGAGGGGAGAAAAAATTCAGCTGCGCCAGCTGATGGACTGCGTAATGGCCAAACCAGACATGTTTTCTCGCCAATTCAATGTTAAAACATCATTTTTTAAACGTGTTTACTTCTAAATAATTTATCCCTTTTGCTCACGCTTTGTTTGGGGTCCAGTAATTTCCTTCAGGCTCACCTCACGTCGCCACTTGCACGTCCCTGTGCCTTGGTTATCACGAGGTTTTGCCAGCGCGACGCGCTTCCTGCGCTGAGATTGGATGACGCCCTTGTTAATTCCCGTGCCAGAAGAGCCAATCAGAGCGCAGTTGTTATGGTTACACGTTCATAGCTGTAGCCTCCGAGCGGACCCTGAGCAGAAAACACCTAGGCCGTGGATGCAGGGTGTTTGTAGTGGCGCTGATAGAGGCCAACAGGCATGAGGAAGTTTCACGGTGGGTCACGGAGACGGCACTGGCTTTAGAAGGGAATGCATCAGTTGCAGGTTAGACTATGAACGTCAGAACATTTTACTGGCGATGAACGTGAAAATGTCAGTGCATAGGTACAACGGGCACGCCTCTGAAATGAATCGGACTAGAAGTAGCTTGTTGGGAGAGGGAGTAGCCGAACAAGGCTGTGCTGGGCGAAGACAGGAGGAGGAGGGGGGACGCGGGCCTTTTCTCATGCAGAAAGCTATTTGCAGGGAAATGCGATGGATTAGCAGGAGCTCATCAATAGGGAGAGCGTGGTCACCCGGCGCTTTAACAGAGTGGCCACCAATCGAAGGGAATTTCAATATTTACCAACAGCCTCGTTTTGTTAGTTGCAGTTAAGCAAACATGCGATGCGCTAATTCGTGTTGGGTGAGACTGTTTTAAGCATAATGGGGCCTCATTTGAATGAAATTAGGTGTGAATTTTGGCTCATTTTACACGACTGAAGGCCATTCAAGATAACATTTAGAGGAACAGACAAACAACAAGGTTGTTAGTTTTAACAGAGGAAGAAAGGAAAACTGTTAGGATCTATCTATGAAATATACTTGTATCAACATTTAGGTGCTTTTACTATGAAAGGTTCTAAGAAGGTGTTAGCTTTAAGATAACGAATATTTACTGATTGCATAAAATTTAAAAGAGTATTGATAATATTTTTTTTAAAAATAGGTCACAATATTTTTAATTTCATTTTACCAAACAGGCATCATGATGGCAGAAGCTATGTATAAAAAATGCTTTCTTTCTTTCTTTCTTTCTTTCTTTCTTTCTTTCTTTCTTTCTTTCTTTCTTTCTTTCTTTCTTTCTCCTTATCTACCCTATTTGTTTTTTTCCTTACTTCAGTTTCTCTTTTTACTGTCTTCCTAAATTGGTACACTGATGGTGTGTAGAGCGTTTAAAGGAACCTCCGGCCTTTCAGCTATGACACGAGGTATAATTAGTGTTAGCGTTCTAAGCAAAAATTAGTGTTTTTCTTATCAAAATGATGCCACACATCCAAGTGTGGATTTACTCTACAGGTATCTGTGGTTTAACCTGGCCAGATCTGGTTTTTGTAGAGATGAGGCTGAATAAGTTTCCTGAATTACTCAAGCTTCAATGACCTTTAGCCCACAAACTGAGATGGAGTGTGTGTGTGTGTGTGTGTGTGTG